TATTCATTATTTTACACACATCTAATAGTTTATATCAGATCTTGAAAATGTATTGTTCAGAAATGTTATACATTATCTTCCATAGACACAAATTCTTCAACAATAGTTCCAAGCCAAACTAATGTGACTTTAATCCATTAGTTAATTTTCTTAGAAAGAATTGTATATTCAGAAGAATATTACTTACATTTTATGAAACTGTTGACCTCCAAAAAGACCACTAGATGTCAGTTCTGATCTACAATCCAACAGAATATGAATCATGTCTTAGAAGTGATCCTACCGCATTATTAAAAGCAAGTCAATGAAAAGTATTTGCTGGGCCTTTCCTTCTTCATAGGTGCATGAGCATTTAAATTTTCAAGATGATGATAATATGGATTTTGAGGACCAAAACACAGAAGAATTCCTTTTAAAAGACACTTTCAATTTTCTCCTTTCTAATGAATCTTCACCTTCCATATTTTCTGAGATATTTCAGAGACTTTACAGATCAGGTGTATTTAAGGTAAGTGCATATTTTTGTCCTGACAAACATTATTTTTCAAGTCATTTTTTATAAGGTGCCATTTTCTTTATTGTGCAGTTAAGCAACTTGATAATTCATTTGCAAGTAATTTGTATAGGTTATAGTATACCTGAGGACCAATATTATTTTTGTGTCAACTAAGTATCTGAGTGACTGATTCTGATGAAATTATGGGTTGTAAATGAAGTAAAGCAGTTCCTAATTCCTAAGGAATGTTTGTGAATATTATGAATAATATGTATTGTATGTTATGGGATATTTAAAATGGAACATTAGAACGTTTAGGAGACAGTCTAGAATAGCAGAGGCTGTTTCAGATGGAGATCAAGGGGCTTGAGTTATAATACTAATTTTTTTAAGCATTCACATCTGGTTAACATCTTTGCTTAGACGCTTATGATTAGGGTGTAATGCTTCAGAGTAGCTTTCGTTAATTTTTATGGTATGGTAATATGAGTTTTCTTGGTGCCTCAAAAAGTCTGTACAGATTACTCAGTATTGTTCTCTCTAGATCTGCTCGGATCTCTAGCACCTGAAGACTAAAGGAGACTCTTCTGCACTCCCAAACTGTCACACACCTTCCTCCCTTCATGGGCTCATCTCCCCAACCTCACCAGCAAGCCCTATTGAGCGATTTCATTAAGGCCCTTTTTGTCAAATAGGAAGTTCTCTTACAAGTATCTTCACACACCGTTGTTAACAAGTTGAAGTTACCATGTGTTATTTAGCATGAATTGGCTCAGCCATTTATTTATAGAGTTCAGAATTTGATTGGTTTATGAAGTGGGCAGCAACTGGGCTAAATGTGGTTTGATTTTGTAGCAATTGCTTACGAGTTGGTGTTTTTCCTCCCTCTTACAGGGTGAAAACTATCAAAAGGAACTAAATCAATGCCTGTCTTTAGAGGACATTAACTCAATTATGACTTTCATTAAGGAACTTAGGAGTTTGGGACAATTCCAACTGGTAAAACAAAAATGTATTTGATTCCTCTTGATTACTTTACTGAGATTATAGTAGGTCAGCCATAAACTACGTGATTTTGACTTCAACCTAGAGGAATATATTTTTTTAAGAAGCAGAAATCTTCATAAGCTCCCTTCCTGTTTTCAGAGATCTAAATATTAAGATGAACAGAATCCATATTCTTTAATAGTTTGTAAATAATCTGTGACTTACTAAAGGCAGAAGAATATAGGGTTAGTATAACTGTCAGGATTTAACAGTTTTTAAGGGGAAAATGTCCAAATTGTTCTAAAGAAGTTTTGCCTTTTGCTTTGGGATATTTACAAGTAACCAAAATTTCTTCCTGCTTATTATACAATTTTTGTTTGTGTAAAATCAAATATTATTGAATACAATAACAATATTTTGGAAAATTACCTAAATCTTAATTTGTTGTAACTCTATAGTAAAGTAAGAAAATGTAAAGAAAGAAAATATAAATAATTATAACTTAATGGTTCCAGCCTAAAAAAATAAATGACATTTATTTTCTCTTCTATGTATTTTCTTGGGTTCATTAATTTATTGGCCAATATCAAAGAACAATTTATGCATTTATGTGCATTCTCAGTACTTGCTTTGTTTCTAGTTCTGCCACTTATAGAGACCATAATGAATTTGTATTTCCCCCTTAAATATGCCTATACAAAATGTCTCCTTGAAATAGCATTTTAAAACCCCACTGATAATTTATTATTGTGATTGCATCAACCATTTATTTTTTACTTAAAAAAATCTATATATGCATATGCTCACTTTATGAGTTATAACTAATTTACTGAGTTAATTAATGACTGACACTTATTTTTACAATGTAGCCCCATATTTTGGAGGGCTCAAAGTAAACTTATTGCAGCAAAGATAATTTAATGCATGGATTATCATTTTAATTAATTGAAATATAGTAAGTATTACATTCATGACAGTTTGGCTCAATACTGCACAAAGATAATCATAGAGGGCTGGCCTCATTCTTCAGGAATTCATAATTTAAGATATTGTGAAGGTCAGGAACATCACTTGGCACAATCCGAGGAAGAACTGAAGAATTACTGTGCAGAGAAAGAGCATACCCCTATTTCCTGACTCTCAGAGTCAAAAGAGAATAACCATAGACACTTTTTAGTAGGATTAATATCACTCACCTTGATATAATTTACTTGTAACCCAAGAGGATTTCTCCTCATTCTTCCTGCTGCCTGACTCACTCTGCTACTCAGCAGTTTGCAGGAATCCATGGAAAGGAGAAATCCACTTATTCAATGAAAAGAGAACAAAAACTCACCCCATTTGGAAATGCGATCATCAACAAAATTAGTTCCTTATTAAAAATGGCATTGACCTTGTCATTTGCACATAAAATTAAATTATGGTACTGAAAATGCATTTTTAATAAACACTTGATTTTTTAAATACCTGAATAAATATAAATCCTTTCCTAGTAACACATTTTAATTTATTGTCTATCCTGATTCTGATATTCTTTTTGAATATTCCTTCTCAGCTCTTCCCATCAATTACTCTTGGGACTCAATCTTGGATGCGTGAATTTTATGATATGGCAAATCCTATGGGAAAACCTGGTTCAGTTCCGACCCAATACTGGTCTCTTTTAAAAGTGTTTGAGCAATTTCAGCTCCTGAATAAAAAGGCACAGCTATATCCACTGGAATGGTAAGATAGCCACAAATTTGAATTGTGCAATCCAAAAAACTCTCTAGTCTAAAGATTGATTTCAAAAGACTTTGCCTACATTAAAGAAAGCAACAAAAACAAGTGTGTCCAAAAATTCATGCTCTGGAAAATGAGCTTCTTTAAAACACTGAAACCATAATGATTCTAGTGGTCTTCAAACACTGTAACAAAAATATATCCAACAGTTTTTCAAACCAACAGGACTTGACTCTGCTCGAAAGTAATGTTTAAAACTCAAAGTTTCAATCTAGTTTTATTCTATGATATATATCTATATTTATATCTTTGTCTATATCGATATCCTTGAATTATGGTAGCGTCAGACAGAAGGAATTAGGTGAGATTTGTTTTATGAACCATCAGTCAGAATGGAGCCCAAGACGGTATAAGTAACTATTTAGAGTTTTTGAGGCATGACTTTTACTCTGGGCAGAACCTAGCTGAATATGTCTGTCTCTGCCATAAGATTAGAACTAAAAAAAAAAAAATAAGATAGACTCTCAGAGGGAAACATGTGGCTGGGAGAAAAATTTCTTGGCCTCCCGTGTCCACTTCCATTCTAATGAGGTAGTGATGAGGGAATGAAAGGGAGGATAGGCCAGGTAAACATATTAACACCTCCTGTAGATGGTGAAAAGGGCAGGGCCCAAGGCTTTAACTAAGCCTGCTGTTTTTATATGATGGAGTTAAGGGATTATTTGACTTTTCTATTGCCAGGGAAACAGAGGTAAACCTAAACCACCCAGGGAGATGAGAGACTAAATGGCGGTGCGTAATCATTTCTCTCACGCACTCCCTCTCGGGAATGGCTTCTGTTCTACGGCTTGTACTTCATTTCCTTCTGCCTCAGGAGATAATGAAGGCAGTTCTGTAGGAAACTTTTTTTCCCCCTATAATTTGAAAATACAAATAATCATATATTTGAAGAATTCTTACGACATCTTCCAAGGATAAGAACTCACTTTCACGGCCACAATTTTATGAAGTTGGCCTTATTCCCTCAGGACGCGGAAGTAGTAGGCCTGACAGAAGGTTTTGTTGGTTTGAAAATTAGGCTTTAAATAATATAGCTCAATGCCCCTTTGTTTGTTCCTTGCACTCCCTGAAATAATCCAGAACTGTTTCATTTGCCGTTATCCCTGGAGAAAGAGCAGACTTGATTTACCAAGGAGCCTATTTAAGGACTGTTTCTAACTTTAAGGTCCCTTGAGATATGCAAGCTTTAGAAAGCTAGTATTTTTGTTTTTATTTTTCATTTTTTGCAAGCTCCACATATGTTGTAAACTTAACCAATTGAGTTACCTTAAATTCAGAATATTGAATTTAACCCTAGCTCTAACTGATTCCCTTCCAATAAGGGACTTTACTTAATTGTCTGTGTGCATCGGAGTTAGAAGAGGTCAGGACTTTTTTGAATCCGATGGACTTGGATTCAAAAATCCCAACTTTAGAGTGTCTTAATTATGACAGACAAAATTTTGACCCCTCTGAGACTCAGTTTCCACATCTGTAAAATATGGATTATACCACCTACCAAGGATTATTTCAGGGGTACCTACGATAATACCCATGTACTGCATGGTGTCTGGTATGCTGTGCAGGTAGGTAGTAAATATTAGTATACCTGCCTTGTCATGTGTCTATACCAGGAGTGGGCAAACTGCAGCTCGCGAGCCACATGCGGCTCTTTGGGGTACATTCTGTCTCAAAAGTTTGCCGACCCCTGGAAGAGCCAATCCTTTCCTTTCCCTCACGACGATTTAAAAATTATTCGAGACCCATAAATATATTTTTACATAATCACTATTATGTGAATAATATCCTGTAAAAGTTTTATAAATGAAACTATGATAGTTTTATTTCCATTTTTAATTTTACTTCAGAGCCACATGTACTTACCCAGAATTGCATGTGGCTTGCGAGCCGCAGTTTGCCGACCCCTGGCAACTCTTCCATCTCAAAAGTTTGCCAACCCCTGGTCTATACCATCAAAAGTCACTTTAACATCAACAACAGGGAAGAAATTTCCTTCCTTTATTAGAAAAAGCAAAAAAATTTGAAAGGATTTACGAAGGTAAACCCGAGACAAGTAAACTTTTGATCTTTATCAGGGAGCAATTAGGTAAATTGAGCTTAGAGCATTTAAAGAAAGAATACTCAATTCTAATTATTTTCAAATTTACCTGTGAGCATGTGGGTATTGAATGATCATCCATGTGGTATTACAAGGAGGATGCATATCATACACATTTTCCAGGTGAGAAAACTGAAGTGCTGAGAGGATGAATCATTTACTCAAGACACACTGATTAGAAATAGAGGTGAGCTTCTGCCCATGGTTCAGGGCTTTATTTCAGCATATCATGGAGACAGGGAGGTCAGGTGTCATCATTCATCACTGTTCTTCACAGCAGTCACCTCCAGTTTGTTTGTTTTTTCCTACAGAAAAAGCTAGTTTTACATATCCATACTACTTGTGAGGCTTAATGACTTCATCCTTCCTTTTAAAAAAAGATTATCTGTCTATAGCAACACAGTGAAGAGAGATAAAGTCTGAAAAGTAATAGTTAGAGAAGGCATATGTTACGTCTATGCCCCAAGGCTCAGAATCCAGAGGTCCCAACAGAATTAGTGTAAATCAGAACAGAATGAAAATCTTAACATCAACGTCTGTGCACTCTTTGCTAATTTTCACTTCACTGGAAACAAAGTTGCAAGTGGGCTTTGCTTTCCATAAAACCCCACATTTTCAAAACATAATTTATTTATAAAATTAAACAAGAAATTACTGTAGGATGCCTTAACATAAAAAGCGTCTTATCCAATTATGATAGTAACATTTCCAAAATTCAGTTTATGTGCATTTCAGAATTGTATCTTTTATGAGCTTCACTTAGAGTTTTTGCTTCTTATGAATTCAAAGATTTTTTTTTTAAATATGGCTTGGCACCCAGTGAACTTCAGTTAAACATATATCACCCCATGTATCTTCGTTCCTTGGGAGGAGGGAAATATAGTTGACCCTTGAACAACAGTGGTTTGAACTGTGTGGGTCCACTTACAGTGGACTTTTTAAAATAAATACACTCAGCTCTTAGTATTCTTGGGTTTCCTACTTGCAGATTCAATTTACCATGGATTGAGACCAGTATTTTCACATTCACAAAAGCAGATTCCTAACTGCAGATTTCCAACTGCAGATTGAAAATGCTGGTTTTGATCCATGGTTTGTTGAATCCTCGGATGTGAAAGGCTGACTGTAGTTAAGTTTTGGGGAAGTTAAAAGTTATATATGGATTTTCAACTGCACAGGAGTCTGCTCCCCTAACCCATACATTGTTCAAGGGTCAACTGTATATTAAAGAAAGTCCTGGAAATCATTATTTTTTACCCCTAATTATTTCTTTTGTGTGTGTATGTGTGTGTGTGTGTGTGTGTGTGTGTACGACAAAAATAAAACTGCAATAAAATTGTCACACCTCCCAACATTAGCAATATTTTTAATTCCTTGATTTTTCTTAATTTCTTACCTGATGTTTATATTTTCAAAGAATTGCATATGGCTTATTCATCTCTTCTCTACCACAGTGCCCAGCACGTATCTGGGACAATAAATATTTATAAAATGTAATGAAGCACAGAACATTAGATTAAATTCTTATATCATCCCTGTGAAGTTAGGCCAGTATTTTTATCTCTATTTTGCTGTAGTAGAAGTGGAGATTCACAACACAGTGCAGGAAAGTCAAGTCACATCCTGCCCAGTGTTCTCTATTATCGGGACCAGCAATTTTTCTGTCTGCAATTTAGATAATTTTGGTACCAGATTTGAGGATTTATAGGGCAAACTTGCCAAGCATTTAGTTATACAAGAGAAAAATGAGGGAAACACACCAAGCTATAACTAACCCCTACCATTTCACTACAGTTAATCAGAATTTAAGGATAGAAGTCTTGGCAAGCTTTTCTGCGTGGTACACTTATATTTCTTAGATTATACGTATGTTCTTCTCAGTCGGTGCCTCAGAATTTCCAAGGCTTCTTGCTTTAAGACTGTGTTACTTTAGCCAAACAGATTCCAATTAGAATGTGTGTTCCCAAAGCACTTCTGTTGGACCCAGGCTATCAGAATTGCTTACTTTTGGACGGAGAGTGGCTTTGGCCCTGGTTTTCTTCAAATGTGCTGCTGCTGATTGGAGATGATGAGATTTCCACCCACCTCACTTGAGGCAAGATTGCCAGTTTTGAGGAATGAAATCCAGAAAGTGTTTCTTTGTGTTCATCAAAACAACTGTGCCCACACATAAAAAAAGATAGTGTGTTAGATGTAATTTCCATGAATTTTGTTTATTGCATTGATCCAAAGTTGTTTGGCATTGCGTTTGCAGGAATTCTTTCACAGAGGATGAGAACATTGAAAAACCACAAGTACCATTTGATGCAACTGAACATAAAAAAGGTAAAAGGATAGTCACACTTAATTCAACATGAAAATTAGTACTGCATGGGCAAAAACCATATAAAAATTGTTTAGCTTCATTAGCAATCAAAAAGGAAAATCAATCAGGGAAATGCTATGTCCTTCAAATTTGGAAAGCTTTTTCTTCTTAAAAATAATAAATTTGGGGAGAGTGTAGAGAAATAAGTATTGTCTTGCTGCTGGTAGATGTATAAATTAGAACAACCTTTCTTAAAGGGCCATTTACCAACATATAATGTAAGAAAAACTTTAAAGTTACCCTTATATACCAGAAAATTCACTTCTATAGTCATTGTAAGGAAATAATTAAAAATGTATACAAATTATGTAATTTGTTAATAAATGTAAATTTATTATATAAATTATTAATAAATAAAAAAATAGAAA